CCACGGGTAGATCATTCAAGGTAGTCATCGACATCAGCACGCGTAAGGCCATGAAGGCAACGATGGGAAAGGCGGTCTATGAAAGTATGTGCTATAGAGACCCTAGACGTGAAAAACGCCTTAACACTGAGTGGAGCTCCAATTCTTCGCGCTACAAACCTGGAGTCAATACATTCTCGAACTTTGAAAAAAAGTTACTTTAAGGAGGAGAGTCCTCCATGATGAACTGTGTCTGGAGTACAATCTGTATACGGTCACAGCGGATGTCCCACAAAGGCTCGTACTTTGGTTCCATGTTGTGAACATTATGTATGACGTCGTTTGAAGCTCGAGTTCCGGAGGCGCTAAAGAACGATTGGATTCGCTGACGATGTTGCAATTGTCTGTCGCAAATACATCGAAACAAGTCACGCAGGTGCCAACGAGCTGTGGCGAGATCCGGCGTGGCTTTACGTTCGGTAGGGCTACAGATGGCCGCCTATAACAACAGAGGCTTGCTGGTGACGGAACAGAAAGTGAGAGAGATTACTCTTTAATGTAGGATGCTGCAAAAATCCTCTCAGCTGTCACTGAGGTATTTGGGAGTGCATATTGACGCGAGACTGCGACTTTGACGGCACCTGCGCAATGGTCTCCGAGAAAGCATCTCGTATTGCATCCGCAGCGCACGCATTATGCCTAAGTATAGGGATGTCCTGCAAAAGCCGGAGCCGCTGACTAGCGTAGTAAATTCCATTCTTCTCTTACGCAGCCCCTGTTTTGGGCTGATTGCCATGGGCATTCAGTCATACGCCCGTGGCTAAGTCGGTGCATAGAAGTCCGCCTTGCGGCGTTGCTCGAGCGTTTCGCACCGTATCCTATGATGCGTGTGTGTGTTAGCAATATGCCCTCGATCGACCTCATTGCGCAGGAGAGAGCTAAGACTCTATTTGCGGCAAGCGGGAGGGGCCTCAAAACTGGAATACCATTACGAAGAAAGAAGCGGGGTGGACAATGGACCAATGGCAACGACGAGTGGGAGCCAATCATCAACGGGCGATGGACATTTCGGTCATCCCGACATATTGACGTGGTTCAAAGGAACATGGAGAATTAGATTTTTTATCTAACCAGATGCTGACAGGGCATATGATGTTACCGCCATATCAGCTTCCGATTCCGGGTGGACGATAGCTCCTGCATGCCCAAGTGTTTCCTGGTGATTGAAAGATGGTAGAACACGTGTTTTTTCATTGTCCACGCTTCGCAGTGAAAGGAGAACTTCACAGAACTCCTCCAAGAGGAAGTGACCCCTGAGACCATCGTCATCAGAGCTGCTGACACAAGAGTATTGGGAGTGCTACCACATCCGCAAAAGGTCCTGAAGACGCGACCTCCGCTCCGAGGAGCAGTTACGAAAAGACTCCCGTAATATTTCGTGACGTTGCCGAAGAGCCATCTCCTTCTCGCGATGCAATGCATGACGGCGGTTCCGCGGGAAGAATAGGAGGAAAGGAGGAGTTTTAGTGAGGTTAGGCTAGGCTCTAGAATCCCACACGCTGCGACTGCGGGTTGCGGGCCCCGCTGTGTCTTTAGAAGATTTTCCCCTGCCCACGTAAAAAAACACACACACCCGCGCGTGCGAGGTCGTTGCAGTAAGTACGTGCGGTGTAATTTCCTGGGGGAGCTCTACCGCACTGGTATTTGTGGATGCCGATGCTGATTCCATACATCCCTACCAGATATTCCTGATGCGATGTATTTTGAGTATTCCTTACCGCTCGTGTGCTTTGGTGCACTTCGTTGCCTTCGTTACTCCCAAAAGAAGTGATTTTGCGTATCATTCCCGTTTCACGCTCGCTTATTTGTTTTGTACTGTTTATATGTGATTACAATATTTACACGTATGTGTGATTACAATATTTACAGAAACTTAATGCTGACTTACGAACTAGCCTAACCTAACTGTGCTTATGACCTACTATATACAGATTTTGTACAAATTTGTTAGCGTGTTAGTAGTTGGTGTTATGGTAGTTGATTAGTATAAGTTTCTGTGTTAATAATTAGTAATTTGGCAGGTGTAGTAAATAGTGTATTAGTTTGTTAGGAGGTTATTAGTAATTTGTTAGTAGTGGCATTATGTATATGGTGTGCGTCTCTTTTGGTCATTTGGGAGGGCTCGGCACTTGAGAAGGGGAAGATTTGATGAAATTTGTAGTCATATTACGTGCGTTTTCCAGGCCAATCTTCGGTCAAATGTAACTCCAAGATATTTGATGTTGTCCCGCCACAAAATAGTGTGACCATTTAGGCGGGTTGGTGCGACAGTGTGAATGTTGTGTTTGAGTTTGTGAGAAAAAACGATGGCTTGGCATTTCTGCGCGTTGAGTATGAGGCCATTTTCCGCACTCCACTTTATGAGCGCGTTTGCGGCTCGTAGGCGCTTTACCGCGATGTTAATCCGGCTGTCTTTGACCGTAAAAGATATGTCATACGCGTAGATGAAATCTTTCATTCCGGTGATGGTAGAGGCGTCATTAGGAAATAAAGAGAAAAGGAAGAGAGAAAGTACGGCGCCTTGAGGGACGCCGGCGAGAATAGGACGGGTTGTAGATAAGAAATTTTGAGAGCGAACGGAAGTTCGTGATGTTAAATAGCCGATAAGTGAGGAACGTAGGGGCGAAGTATATGTATAAGTAGGGGGTGATGGACAGTGTGGAAGGCGAAAGAATAATCAAAGAATAGAGTAACGGCGTGATATTGAAGAGGACACGCAGAAAGTGAAAGGAAGGGCTTGGAAGGCAGAAGATCGATTTTTCCGGAAGCCGACCTGCGTCTTAATCTTTCGAATATTTTCCCTAGTATGGGCAAGAGAGATATGGGTCGATATTTTTCTGGGAGACGCAAGTTCTTGCCCGGGTTTTTGAATAAGCGTTACGGTCGCCGATTTCCACAGTGGGGAAGTATTGCGTAAACATGCAAACAGAGTATATATAGAGGAAGTGTGGCGGCCCTGCGAGGAAGTTGTTTTACCATTGCTGCTGAGTGCTTGTCGGGTCCGCCTGATCGATTTGTGTTGATGTTGGACAGTAGGTCGCTTACCTCATACGCTTCAATTTTCCTGTTGGGCGGTATATCTGTGAGGGGCGTGGGTGTGAATGGGATTTCGGCGGCGGTGGCAGGAAGATTAAGTGAGATGAAGGGTGGCGTGAAGTGCTCTTCAAGTAATGTGTCGAACATTTTTGATTTAATTGCTGGATTGTAAACGCGTGGAGGATTGATTGGGCATTTAAGCGCTGTGGTGGCAGGCTGTGGGTTGCGTGTCTACCGTTGTTTATTTGACTATTTTCGACGTACTTTTCCCACATCGCATTCCTCTGCCCCCGCAGAAGTCTGGAGGTTATCCGCCGAATAGTCTGGTACACTGCTTTCGCGTCAGGGACCTGCGTTCGCTGGGCTATTCGGCGTTCTTGGATTAGGCGAATCAGCTCGACGAGTTTGGGATGTGGGATGATGAGGTACTAGCCGTTTAGAATTTTCATCAAAATCAGTTTTGATCCGATAATTTAGATGTTCTATTGCTCTATGTTAGATTATCTAGGTCTAAATTACGTAGAAGTTTGTTGTTTAGGATTGTCTTGAATTTGGCCAATGTGTTTTGTACGTTCTTGTCGGAATGGGTGACGGAAATTGGTCTCTAAGGAAGGCAAAGAGGATAGGGAAGTGGTCAGGTCGTGAAGAAGCTTGCTGGTTCGATCCCCCACTTGATCGACGTGCTGGGTCGATTTATCACTTGGTCGACTTGCTGGATCGATTCCTCACTTAATCGGCTTGCTGGGTCGATCCCC